GCAGTCGGAAGAGCCACAAGCTAACTCAAAGGATCTGGCATCCTCTGGAAAACGGGTCTCTATTATTTTTCAAAAGTTTGACTACATGAGACACAGAAAATGAGCTAGTATTTCAAAAATGCAGAAACACCGTAAATCAGAAATATGCCAATGGAACATACGAAAACAAGCCACCATTCTGGACCCAGCCAGAAAAAATAGAAATCTTTTCAAATGCAAGCAGGAACAAGCCATCCGGGTTCTCCATGTGGACAGGAACTGGGAACTCACAAGTGACCCAACAGTGGTATCTGAAGTTCACAGGGAACACTATGCAGGGCTATATCAGCCCAGATATCCTCGTCACGTCTGGTCTTGTCAAGGCGTAACTACGAATGATCTTCACAGTTGAGGGCATTCTTCAACTTTTGCACAGGATCAACCCATTCTATGCGTAGGGTCCCAACAAGGTCCATCCAAGGGTCCTGAAGTCAACGTCATCTACGCTGGCAAATCATTTCTGCCTGGTGTTGATGATGGAAAGCATTCTGAATCGAGCCATCCTAGATCACCTTGCTTCCAACAACTTGATATCTCCAACTCCACACGGATTTTTCCCAAACTGTTCTTGCGTGACAACATGCTCGTGTTTATGGACAGCCTAACCCAAGCCAAGGACGAGGGACTCATATCGGATGTCAAATTTTCGGACTTAACAGAGGCATTCCATCGGGTCCAACATATCCTGCTGCTCCACAATCTGCAGTCTTACGGGATTCAGGGGGAAATCCCACACTGATTCGAGGCGTTCCTATCAGACAGATCATTCCGAGTGAAAATAAACTCGATGTACTGTCCTCCAGCGCCGGTCTCCATTGGCGTTTCTCAAGGCTCCGTTTTGGGACCATTACTGTTTCTGATTCGTCAGCGACCTTATAGATGCTCTTGCAACTCCATGTCTACTTTTTGCGGATGACTTGAAATTCTGGAGTTCCAATGCCAGCGCCATCCAAATGGATGCAGACGCTGCAAAGCAGTGGCCGTTGGATTGGCACCTTCCCCCGAATGGCGAAAAGTGTGTCCATATGTCATTTGGAGGAGGCACAGCGAATGTCTTTTTCATGCACAGTGAGAACTACCATAATACATCATCGGGATGGACGCCAAAATGTAGTTGGGTGTCTAGATCTTTTCAAACATGTCCCTCCCACTGCACCACGAAAAATCGGTCCAAAAGGCGTTCGTCATTCTACGATTAATTCGGCGCACCTTCTTCCACATTACTCGCATGGACTTCCAAATACTCCATGGGACCTAAGTCAGACCGCTCCTTGAAAATACCATCCAAGTTGTCTACTCAGGGCGCACGAAAGACGTAACCCTCGTTGAGCGTGTCCAGTGAGCCACTACGAGTATGGTTACCGGCCTCATATTCGTGGACTACGGAACGCGTCTTACATCGCTTGGCCTCTTTCCACCGGAACATTGTCATCTCTTACTTATGCCCTGTTTGAACAAGGTTTGGCAAACAAATTTTTTACCGTTGACCCAGCAAACACACACCGGAGAGATGGCGAGAAAATTTTCAAGGTTAGAGTGCACACATTCATCAGGCATTTTTCTCATTTCGGGTGGTAACTGCGTCGAATAACCTTCCTTCTTCGGTTGTCCAAGCTACTTCTAGAACCCAGTTCAAAGCATTATTAGACACCTATTTATGTGAGACCTCGCGCTGGCCAGCATACTGCCCCGCGCTGAAGAAGTAAAGAGCGTTAATACACCCTTTTTCATCTGTGCCTTTCAGGTGAACGACAGCCGCTGAACGACAAGTACAAAACCAACCGGGGAAACTGGGAAAAAGCCGCGATCCTGTGTATCAATCCGTGGATCCGTGAAGGTCATATTGCTCCAATGGCCAATGAACGATCAGCTATCCAAACACATGTGTTCGTGTGGTGCGCCGTTTGCTGAGTGCACCAGTCTGTCACGATTTCTCTGGCCTGAGTTTTTTCTAGCGACATGCTCCTTCTCTGTTAAAGGAGCTGTATATATTTTACTTTGACAAACACAACTGCCCGGCATGAATTCGCCGAATCCTGGTCCGCTGGACTTTACCTTACTTTTGGGTGAAATTGAATCTGGCAGTAGCGGTTCAATTGCAAATGTCATCCGAAAATTGCGCGAACACGAAGTTGCAGCCTACAAGGCCGGGGTTGGCGGTCCAACAGGGGAGTTGGTGGCGTCCTTTATATCGGCCCTCGATGAACGTGCTAATGAAAGGAACATCGAAATCGAAAAGATGTGCGCCCATCATTACCAGGGGTTCGCGGAAGCAACTAGAGATTTATTGAGCATACAGAATGATTCATCAACAATGCAGAGTGACATCCAGGCCTTGAATACCAAACTAGAGGCGGCAGTGGACGCAGTAAGTCTTAACCTGTCGCGTGATTGCTGATTGTCACACGGCGTCACAATGTGTTGTATTGTTTTTCACCGTTAACGTCGTTCATAATTACCGTGCGAAAGTAGTCTGCAGCCATTCTTTTAACCATTGATAAAGGCTCGGGGCAAAACGAGCGGCGTTGGTAAATTTGATAATTTTTGAATAGAATAAATACACCCCTAGTTAGTTTTACTCCACACTGCCACTGCTCTATTTTCCTGTGCTTAATAATAGTGCCCAGTTAAAAACTACTCAGGTTCAATTTCATGCGTCCTTTTTTCAGTGTCTTTGTCTCACGCTCGGAGTGTTCTGTTTTTTTTACGTATCTGATGAACACCGGGGGCGCTTATTTCTGTTCGCTGACTGAACCAAAGTGGTGTGTTGATTTGAAGCTCTCGCCATATATCGTTAAGGCCGGCGAGTTTGATGTCAGGCCAGTGATATTCAGCGGAAGGAGTCTATGTGTCTCTATGGGCAACCTGACATTATCCCATCCCTCGTGCTTCTGGTTGTATGGTGGTTAGGCACCGAAGGGGTGCTGCAGCTGAACGATCTGATCTGATCTCTATGTACCTGACGGCATTTTGATACGCCGTTCTGTAGTTGCAGGTCCTCTTTTGTAATGTCTACAAGGCTCTGAAGTTGCCTTTCGCATGCTGTCGAAGAAAACCCTATCGCACCACAACATGTTGTTTTGCGTCAGAGCGGAGGATGAACAGAGTCTTAGACAACATGTGCAGTGTGTTTTTTTAAATTCGATTCTTTTGGAAATATTTCATTTTCTTGGAGAAGTTGGGTATTGCTGAGTATGCTGCAACCCACAAACATCCTTCTTACATCCTAGGCGAGGTCTATAGATAGTGAACCACAATCCCTAATGGTGGCTCAATTCCCGTAGAATTCGGTCCGTGCGTAACGACCGTACTTGAAACAGTGTTGATTGAAAACTCAGCCAGAAGCTGAATCACCAGGCGAATCGTCCGTGAATGACCAAGTCGGATCAAGTGCTTACGTAACCCTAGGATTCATGGCCTACTGTCAACCTAAAGCTCTCACTTGGTGGTGGTCGAGCTTCTGTGATGCAACGGTCTTGCAGAATACGTTGACTGGAACGACAGTTCCTCAGGGTTCAACCATGTCAGAAAAGTCAAAGACCGATGTCCACCATGAGTAGGCTGGGCCTTACCTTGATGCGACGGTTTGTGTATCTCGTACGGCAGTAAAGCATCGGTGTTGAACACTGATGTGATGCTGTCGATGATGATGATGTATCTCGGCGACCCGCTGAGCTATACTGGGAGTGGGTGTCCGCGCAACACTCGTAGAGTCTTTCATTGGTTGGAAGTCTGACGAACACAGTCTCCTGGCCCTCCGTTTTGGGGGTTGGAGCTTGTGTGGCGACGTGCTCCCTGAAAATGGTAATGTACTTGCATTTCCAGCCAAGCACTGCTGCCTTGTGGTCAGGCTTTTGAGCCAAATGCTTTGGTTGAGGACCTTCATCGTTCTCCTGTCTCGATGTGGGCGCCCTGACAGTATCCCAGCCCATCTACAACTATGAATTGTACGGAAGTGAAGCATTAGGGCTGAACACTGATGTACTTTCCATGATGATGGTGATGACGATGACGATGAAATCCCGATGAGTAGCTGGTCCCCTTGCTGATGGAAATCATATTACGAGGCGGCCTAGAGTTAAAGTCGTACTGTGGCGGTCTCTGGCGATGAAGGATTCCCCCTCTCAATTCTCTATATGCCTCATTTCGTGGACTCGTCCTGAGTCCACCGCATCCAATTGTGTCAGACAAGGCAGTCCCCCGTCGCCCTTTCGTTCGCTCTTTGCCTACCTCTTACACCTTGAGCATCAAAACACTTCCGTGGCGTTCGCTGACAGACATTCAGTACGCCGATGGTATTACTTTTCTTGAATGTGACCCTTTAAAAGTGCAAACTGTTCCAAATAGCCTAAATCATTCCGCTGTACGTTTCGGTGCTCCTGCAAAACTTGTTGGGAATGAACCAAAACCTCATGCTTGGAGGTGGATCGATTGGTGTGATAGATAAGTTGGTCTATCTGGGAAGCTGCATAAGTCGTGGTAGACTGCCGAAGGACCAATTCGCCTTCCGAATCGGGAAATCAGGGTATTTTTTGACAACTCCCGTCATTTGTAGCTTTCCCTGTCTGTCGATGTATGTTGTGTCTCCAAAACACGCGTACAAGACCTCACTTCTGTCATGCTCCTCAAGCCGCTTAAGACGATCCCAGATGTTGCACATTTCACTCTTCGGGCATCCGGTGATCCTGACACAATGGCTTGTGGTATCTACGGTGTGGGAGTTGCACTCAGCCTCAAAGCTAAAAGCGCCTTACTGGACTGGATCCCAGTAAACAGTCGTCTTTGCGCTGTTTGGTTATCTGGTTTCTATAATCACGCTATCCCAACCGTTCCCTGGTAATGCCTGAATTTCTCACAGTCCCGAACTTACTGGTTAGGTATATTGTCATGCGTGATCTTATTTGACTGCATCTTTGTTTAGGATATTCCCACGTGAACAGGAGAGTTTCAGAGACAAGTAGTGACTTGAAGTGACGAGGTTTGACCTACTAAACCATCAGTGTTAACCAATGTTACGCCGTTATCTGTGGTTATGGAACAATTTAGTTCGCCCTGTGTTAGGGGATTGTTTCATTCTAGCAGCGATTGTTGTCCTTAGTATTCAGTCTGGTTGAGATGGTACTTCGAAACGGCCATCTACTAGGTTATCATCAGCCATATTCATTGGACGCTAACTATTCTCCATTGTAGTCAGCAAACTTAGAAAACAATGGGATTTATGGAGATCGCTTTCTTTTGCAGAGAATTCTAGGAGAGATTCGATAAGTCTGATACGCTCACTCGTGTATTATTTAGCCGTTCCTGAAACCCATGAGTCCTTTTGGATTGCTCCACATTACTTTGATCTGCTGATCGAACTAGATACGAAAGGTATTGACGGCTGCATTGTGATACTTCACCCCTACTGTTGATCCTACCAGGCTTATAACCATTATCTGCAAGCTACGTTTGTGAATCCATATGAACGCATAACGTACTACCATTCAGAGATTTTTTAGCTGCCCACGTGGCACCATGATACTAATGTTTGCTGTTACGCCTTCCTCTGTCGATCAGTGCTCACTATCCTTTACTGTGTCAACGTGACTTATATGGGTGATCAGAGCTCAGAAAAACGGAAGAAATTCGTAGTGGTCGTTTATTCGTAATGATATTAGAATGACGTGAAATCGAAGTGCATTATGATTTTTTAAAGAGTGTTATCAACACAGGCAAAATTCTGCGTGAAACTCGACATTAGTCTCAGAAGTGGGGAGTGGCCTGGAAAACTGGTTCATATTCGGATGTCCCGTCCACTCAGAATTTGTTACTGAGTATTACCCACCGTAGGCTCTGGAACTATTGTTATCCTGATTTGAGTACTTGTGTCGTTTTCGTTCACCCAAGTGCTCCTGATTTCGTTTGGAGGTTTTGGTTGGCCAAAACAGTACATAGCATTCCCGGAAGTGTCAGGCCAAAGATGTAAAGGGAAATAAATGTGAAATGATAGCGAAAGTATACGGAGGCACGTATGGACTTGGAAGGGTTGAACTGTGCTGTCTTCAAGTAACCTTTGTTGCGGATGGTGGCGAGATGGTGAGATGGGCCAAGTGGTTAGAGCGCCAATTTGCCGACCGGAAGGTCCGTGGTTCGAATCCGACCTCCGCCTCTCGTTTTCTCCTGTCTAGGCTTGGGCAACCTGGCAGTATCTCAGCCCTCGCGCTTCCTTCGGGTGGCATGGCAGCTAGGCACCGGAAGGGTGCTACAGTTGAACGCTTTCGGATGGTGGCAACGTCGGTATCCTACACAGTGATGTTGTAGGTAGCGCTCGGAGTGACAAGGGGAGACGTAGTAAGGGCTGATACTCGTCGTTCACGCATATAAGAAATAAAGGTTGTGGGGCACGAATCTGTGAGGAACTCAAGCGCTGATTTTCGGAAGGTGCAAAACAACAGCCCCGATTCGTGGTGAGCGACCGACGGTGCGAGTTATCAAGCATGAATGAAACCCATGTATATGGCCAGAATGTCTGCGCACCTGATTCGAAGCGTCTTCGAAATATCGAGTACAACCTTATTAGTTTTACCAATGGTTTTCACTGAGAAATAAAAATGGGATAGGTAAGTCGATATATGTCAATTGAGGAACCGTGACACCTAAAAGCAAAGCAGTGGTCATCCAAAAATAGCGGTCTCCATTGTGAACAGTTTGGTCGAACGTGATTCTAGTTGTTGACTGTACTGGAGATGGACCGGTAATTGTTGAGGTCAGAGCGAGGTCCTTGCTTAAAAACGGTTAAAACATGGGACTTCCGTTGAAGTAAAAACGTGTTCAGTACCAAAAGATGATTGAGACTAATAGTGGAGATTTTGGCTTCCTTCGCTTCCAGACAGTCACCCAATCACTTCACATGCGATTGCTTGTTAAATATGCATTCAGGTGCATAAACGATGTCGTCGCTTATCTGTAAGATTCGTTACACATCTTCCGTGCCACCCGACGGAAGCACGAGGACCGAGATATTTCCAGGTTGGCCAAGCCTAGACAAGAACGGTCGAGATGCAGAGGTCGGGGGCGAACCAGGGACCTTTCGGTCAGTTAGTTCGCACTTTAACTACTGCGCTATGTTGAGCGCATAGAATATATTGGATGCTATCTTTTATCCTTTATTCTACTCATTCTGGACAATTTAGCTTTGTGTAAATGACAAGACATGAATGAAGAACAAGTTTCCCCACTATTTGCTGAACTATGTCTGACAGCCTGCTGAGTTGATGGAAATAGTCTATCCTGGAAACTGCTTAATTTTAGGCTGTATTTTTGTATTCGCTCTATTTGTATGCAGTCAGTATTGTGTACCAGAGAACTTGCGTCTGGCTACTCGCTGACAAAGTTGAAAAGGGATAGTTTTGCCTTGTCACTATCAGTGAGCCAGAGCTAGCAAGACTGTGCCTTTGTAAGCGGATTTACTACGACAATCCACCACAGACAGTTCTCATTTGTTTCCTTTGTGTTTGCATTAGCGCACATCTAGATACCCATATGACATCCCTTTTTTACACCGAACAGTATAACTCTTCATGCTCGGCGCTCTCAAACTGCAAAGTGACTTTGGAAATCATTGAACAGTGCATCGAAGCTCTCCAGTTGACTTTGCCAATCTTGGAACAGTACTCTCGAGTGGAGCAAAGCATCTCTGAGGGTCGGTTTCATAATGCATTACGCACGCTTGAGGATCTTGAACGTAATCAACTCGACCGTGTTCGTTCGTATGCCTTTTCTGAGGTTATGAGTTACCGAATCCCGATTATGCGGGCTGAGATAAAGGTACGTACACCTTTTTTCAGAGTATCCCTTCTCATGTCTATGCTTGCATTATTTGTCGGTCAACCATTATTGCAAAATTTTTTCCAGTTTATCTTTTGGCTTCTGCTACAGTCTAGTTTATCCTCCCAGAGAAACTAGACCAGCTCCACCCGTTTTTTAGGCGTAGTGGTGCACCAATCCAGTCTAAAGTCTAATTCACCGCTGAATTCAACCCAGCTGACTAGCTTTGTATGTGCCCATCTTTTCCGATCTCCCGTCTCTATAGCAGCCTCAGTCTCCGAGAAACGGTTGTGTAACTGTTGTGACTCTGACTTCTCGTGTTCTCCACCCAATACTTAGACAAGTCATTTGCTGTTTGAACATGAGTTTTGGCTAACCTGTTCCCGAGCACCTTAAATGTCTAGAATTACTATCCGGAGCAGTTTTTATCCTCCCCCCACACTGTGTATCTTACATGGGACGATGCACTATTTCGGTTTGAATCCTATCGGAATCGCCATTCAGGTTTTTGTGCTTGGAACAACTGCTCCCAACAAAGTCAGAGTTGGCTGCAAGTGATCTTTGTGGAGTACAATATTTGTGTGCCATGCTTTTGGCTTTGTAATGACAAGTTTCCGTGTTGTTCTTGTTATAATTCTGCACAGTATGGTGTTCAGTTTACCAGTCTCGTGGGTGACAAAATTGGCCGTTTTATGGATTCAAGTCGAATTTTGTCGTGTTTTTATGCCTCAGAACTTTTGCAGGTTTCGTGTTATTTTCGGCTTCTCTCGGCTCCGTTTTACGGACTACATTCCGTTAAGACAACCAAAGCCGTGGGATTACGGTGCACTCTTCCGAATGAACCCACTTATCTATCTTGACTAGTACTATTTAAAGTCTCATTGGTTTTCACTTGCTTCACATGCTTACCTTTTCAAATTTTACCTAAATTTTGTGCACACTGGCTACCCTCCAATTCAGTGTATTTTCATTTTTTAACAGAATGCCAGTCTCGCCCAGCTGACCGATTTTCTTGAGCACATACGGAAACATTCTGTTCGACTGGGTGCAATAGCAATGAAGGAAAGCGCTGATATTTCAGGCATGGACAGTGAGGAGCTTCTAGGTTCCATAGGCGGCGGATCCAAAGAGTCTTCAAAGATGAATGATCCTGAAAGTCAAACTCTTGACTCGCTCACGGGGTCCGGACGTTCGAAACAAAACAGTTCGTTGTTTGTTCATTCTTTCGCTTTCTAAATCCGTTTAGTGTACTTTTGTGTCTGGCCACCTAATACATGCGTATATATACGTAGCTATATGTGTCATGGTTCGGCGTGTCCAAATCCGTAAGACTGAAACACAAACAGATGTACAGTTTTTCTAGCCGTAACGTAAATCTTCGTTTCAAGCGCTCATCTGAACTGTTGACTCAATACTATCGGGAGAAGACTTCATATTATTCCCTTAAGCTGTTCATTATGTGTCCACTTTCGTCCAATTAGTTGAGGTGAATTACTCTGTCGAAACCGTTTATTATTACCCTCAGAAACAATACCTCTGAAAGAAACCTGCATATCAATAGGACTTAAGGGTCTCGACAAGCTGCAATGTTGTTTTATTCTGAGCCGCGTGAACCATGACTTCCACGAACAGAGGAATTCGAACTTATCCATCCTATCATAGCTTATGTAGGGTGGTATTAACGTATCCGCGACAAAACAACTAAAAACTACGTATCGAAGGATCTAGTTAGAATATGTATTTAACATCATAAACTAGGGCGACTTCGTTATGTGCTGGGAGTGTACAGTCATTCGCTACCAAAAAGCCGTCTTTTCTATCTATTTTGTATATACTCAAAGCTTTTGAGTAAATAAAAGGTGATTTTGACCTAGGACTCACCCTTGCGAATGAAACCCTTGTAGCCCTCTTATATTTTCTAGTGGTTGGTGGTTGCAGATTTTGTAGCAAAATCGTCCAGCTGTAGCACCTTTCCGGTGCTTAGCTGGAATGCCACACGAATGAGACACGAGGGCTGGGAATCTGCCAGGGTGTCTAAGCCCAGACAGGGGAAGTCGAGAGGCAGAGGTCGGGTCCGAATCACGGACCTTCCGGCCAGTAAATTCGCGCTGTAACCACTTGGTCCATCTCGCCCCCAGAATTTGTAGAATGCACACTCACATTACCCTCGTTCAAACAATCGTCCTGTCATCCTGGCGCCGTCATTTTAGGAGACGCGTTGGACTCGAGTTTTGCTTTTATTAGAGCTCATCAGCAGTTCATATCCTTGACCTTATCGGGGTTTGACTGGATATGCTGTAAGATAGCTTCAGACAGTTATTCATGGCGTTTTTGACATTTATACGGAGATTGTTGGCCTGATGTGGATGTTTGGACACCAGGTTTCAGTATTTATTCCATCTCAGTCATCAACATACTGCCATGCTTCATAATCACTGAATGTTTACTTATTTAGTCTGTTTCTATTTCTATCTAGGCGGTGATGCTGCAGCAGTTGTCTTGGAGAAAGAGCTTGATGAACTTCGCTTGGTTGCAGCGGATTGTTACGATGAGGATGGGACAGTTACGGGTTCCACAACCTCATCCAAATGCATACCAGCGCATCTAAGGATGGAGGATCTGGTTGATTTCGGCCCCGTCTATCGCTGTCTCCACATACATACGATGTTGAACGAACGCCCCGAATTTGAACGGTATTATTGCGCCCAACGTCGAAAACAATGTCAACTTAGTCTCAGTCTGACTATGAACCAACAGGTGAGAAACCTATCGAACGACGATAGCCTGTGACACTGTTGTCCAAATAGTTGCTTTCTAGTAGATCAACCGATATGTCTGCTTTTTAGACAAACCTCCGCAAGTACGCTGAATTCTTCGGTGGTATATGTGGATTTTTCTTCATCGATGACTATCTGCGCCATACAGTGCCCGGTTCGTCCACATCATTCCAGACATATTTAGATGAGTTGTGGGGCGCCACCACGGAGAGATTGGTTGAATTCGCCCGACTAAACTCGGATGCATGTGAGTCGGCGGACGAGCTTATACGGTTGAAAGACTATTCAACCTTGTTCATCCGGACCATGACTAGTTTGGGCTTCCCCGCAGCCGGTCTTTCGGAAATGATTGCATGGATCCAGCGAAAGTATCACCGACTTTTGGCGGGTCAGTGGCGAGAAAAGTGAGTTTTCGTATTGGTATCATACAAGGATGAAAATATCCCTTGGAACCAAACGAGGAGCACCTTTCATGCTTGTTGCAGTCAAATGGATTGTAGTTAGAGCTGATGAATTGGTACTTATGGCTCCGGTATAATGGTCCGGTTCTCCATTACATCGTTTCGGTCGATCCACGTTATTCTGTTTGTGGTGACCGTGCGTTCGATTGACATGCCCGTCATCTGTTGACCAGCTTTTTCACAAGCTGAGCAGGGTTGTCACTCATCAACCCACACCAAACTATAAATGGTAACCAGAATTCTCTCGACACTGGGCGCTCTATATTTCCACTACTCTGTTTGCTTCATGGTGCTGAAATCCCAACCATTTACCCGAATCAACCCCAGTAATTTTAATAATACTGATATGCATCGAATTCTACTGTTGGACGTTTTGACGTGGACTGCGATATTCAAATGCGTGTTAAGGTTTACGATATGAAGCTGCACTCCTGTATTGCTGATAGAGCTGTGGATGGATGTTTCACTAGAAGGCGTCTCTTCCATTCCAGCCATGGATGGCAGTTAGTCATCCTGTTATTAGGGTTTATCCTTGGTGGTGATTGACCTAATTCACCGGAATCATCCATCTGAGAGACAGTATTTCCGTTTTGGGATCTCCTTTATTGCTATTTCTCAAGGTACTAAGCAGTGAAACTTAACGAATCAGATGAGCTTTTGACCTTAGTTCACACTACATGAATGTTAACTTTGTCTCCCAGGGAAACTCACTGTCATTGGAAATGCATACCTATGTCCGGTCATTGCTCATTTTACAATGTCACACCCAAATGCTCTTGTGGATTAACAAGGATGTCCCAGTACATTTGGGAGTGACTACTACAAGTATCCTGTAGGCTGACCCCCTACTCCTTCCGAAGTGCTCCCAAAATATCTGTTACTTACGCCAGACTAGTAGAAGACGTTGGAAGAGCTCGGTCGTGTTGGACTTTCCAGGTGGCTCGCTACCGCTGCTCTTGAAATAGTGCATTTCAGTAGACTGCAACCGTCCTCTCAGCAATTCAGCCGAATGGCTAATGAGGTTCCTCGTTATCCCCTCGATTGGACGAGCAATTTTTAACTTACCAGGTTACGCAGTCGTAAGGTATCCTAGATGGCTCCCTCTCATCCAAAAAGCGTATGAACGATCTCTGTGATCACCGATTTCCAGTGAACTGCGACCTTCGTTTTATTTTGGTGTTTTGTTTCATTAATCTGGTTCTTAAACCAGAAAGAAAGAAAGCGTTCAGCTGTAGCACCCTTTCGGTGCCTAGCTGCCATGCCACCCGAAGGAAGCACGAGGGCTGGGATACTGCCAGGTTGCCCAAGCCAAGGGTTTCGGGTTGGACCCTCTAGAAAAACCCTCCAACTTTTGCCGAGGAGCTGGGTATTCTTTGCCCTCAAACAACTAATGAGCTGCTGCAGATGTAGAACGAACTCAAACTCCTTATTTTTCGCCCTCACACTTCTTAAATTTACGCATTTCAGTATTCACTCCCTGATGGACAGTGGTTAACATGTTTTGGCTAGAGCCTTGGAGACACGAACCAGAAATACGCTGTCCTTTCAAGACACTTCTTCAATAGTCGCCTGTTGTGTACACTGTAATTTCCTCTTCCGAATCTGCCACAAAATTCTGCATGGGAATTCTAAAGGACCCCACTGATTCCGCTTACCATTAATTTCGTGGCAGATACAATATCGGACGAGACGGCTCAACTGGTTAGAGCGCGAACTTACTGACCGGATGGTCCTTGTTTCGAATCCGACCTCTGCATCTCGACTTCTGTCTAGGCTCGGCCAACCTAGCAGTATCTCATCCTTCGTGGTTCCTTTGGTTGGCCTGACAGCTAGGTGCCGGAAGGGTGTTACAGCCAGAGGATTTTTTTCAGATACAACATTATCAGAGATAGCAAAATCCCTGATGACACGGGGCCTCATTGCCGTACAACCACAAAGTTTATTTACTTATACTCAAAACCCTAAAGTGAAAAGAAAAGAGTGGGTGAGGGAGGGACCTGTTGATGTGTTGTCGCAAGCATTCTGAGTTACCTACACTTCCAAACGCTCAATCAGACAATCCGGAAAGAACCTGGCAGTAAGAAAGCCACCACCCATCAACCGCCATTTCTTCCAGTGCCTCAAGCCAAGAGCAGTGGGGGTTACGGGGACCATATTCTGGAAGGTAAACTGCACCCAGTAACCCGTTTGTTCTTCATGCCGAGCCATAAGTTGTCCACCTCGCAGTTGGCGCCATTCAGAAACGTGATCGATACACCGCAGTCTTTTCACCCGGAAGCAAATATGTGATGGCACAATACAGGTAATTAATCTTTCAGAACCAAATTGATTTCCGGTGTACCTGCCACTGTACCATCCGAGTCTGCTTAGAATAATTTCGGGAAAAATGAGTGAAGTGTCATGACCTTAGAACTGGACAATCAAGATGTCGATTATCATGAGAGATATTGCGTGCTTTTTAGTGGCTGGCATCGGTTTGTACGACGTCACCTGAACAAGGGTGAAGTTGGATATGTACGGTGCGGCGATTTCAACGAAGCGCTTTAAAGATTCCTGTAGTAACAAGCGGGAAATCACATACAATGGTTCTAGATGCTATCAAGACCAACTTCAGGCCAACTCAGACAGTTTGCTTCAAGTTACAGTCGAGACATGTTTAAGATTATAGGTGCTCTGTTTGCATTACGCTATATGTACACAGTCAGGATCCAGTTGAGTAGCCACTGTATTCATGTTCCCAGATTTCCCTTTATTGAATCCACTGTCTTTGGATTGATGAGGGGAACTGTCCATTTTGAGTGGCCCTCAATTTAAGTGGTGAGACCAAATGTCTCACATTTACCATAAAGATTCGACCAGGTTAAGTGGCCGCACTTAAACTGCATCAAGTAACGCCGTGAAGACATCAGGTGAGTTCTTGTCTGATTTGTCAACTTGCTGGTTGGTATTCACCGTGAAACTGAGTTAGCCACCACGGACAATTAGTGATACTTCAAACGATCAGGAATTTTGTGCGTGGTAGTCGTCTCCTAGTCGTTCGGAAAATTGAAATCCTGTTGTCAAAAGCCAGTAGACTTGGCACTGGGAAGTTGGGATAGTCAGTCCAACGAGTTTCTTCATCCTCAGTGTGCCTGGGCATTGGTTGACAAAACGTTGAGCCATGCATCGCCCTTAATGCCCCAAAACCAATGGGACTGTGACCTCTTGGACTTTTCCAGGTCTGTACACAGCGAAGTCCCTGTCACGGTTTTGTTCTTGGACTGGTTCAAAGGTAATCGGCTAAACGTCAAAACCTGCAGCATCTGTACCCCTATTAGTAGGTTTTCACTCTACCTTTACATGAGTTCCGTGAGGTAACGTCAGCACTGCTTGATCCAGAGGACTGAGTGCTTGGCAAGTCTATGGTGATTCAAGTCGCTTGTTAACAATTCCAGATCCAGATAGGTATTACACCTTTCTATCCGTGACTGGCACCTAAGATGACCATAAGATGACCATGCTTTCCGAACATGGACGAACTTGTATACGTTTCAGCAGCTTGGTATACGTGAGTGAATCGCCGAGCTATTTGAATCGCATTAACATTTGCAACTGTAGGTTTAGTGTGCCTCCAGTGCAGTTCTAGTGGTTTATTTTCATTGGTAAACAAGTTCGACATAAGTATTTAGCTACAATACAAAGATTTTAAAGGATTTGTGATTACAAACGAAATATCATACAACGAACAGACTGGTCGTTGAAACATGCCTCCCCCTTACCTTTGACTTGCTTTGTTTTGGCTTTTCAGGCATTCGCGCACTATCGATCCCTGACTAGGGCCTGATTCTATTGTGATGAATTCATCAAACTGATTAAGAGTGACCAGGCTCGCTCCTTGGATTGATTGGCTGCGCTTGCTGGGCGTTGCATACCATAACCATCGGATTGAGGAAACACTCTCAAAAAGGCAATCTGTTGTCTGCTTAGCTAGAGGCTTCGATATCGAAAGTGTCAGTCATTATCATCATTAGGCTATTAACCTAACTTAATTGTCACTCACGTCAGTGTGATATCCTGCCAAGTGAGATGAAACAGTAAACCCACTATCGTTTCCCAGTCACACACCTGACCCAACGGGTAATCCTCATACAAGCCAGAACTTCCCACTATACTTCAGAACGAGACCAGACGTTGTGATTCTGTGGAATAACCTGGGTTGGTGGTTTACTAGTGCTTGTTCTCTTTCATTCTGTTTGTTTGTTAGAGCAGTGGAGAAACGGGCGCAGGTTTGTTGCTGTTGAGAGTGTCTACGGAAATACGGAGCCTACTGTCGAAGGTGAAGACTCAGTTGCAAGCACCACTGGTCAAAAGTGCCTGGAAATTCTCCAAATGTTTGTTTCATCAGCACTTTGCTGGCACACAACTCACACAGCTCAAAAACAGAAAAGTTCGGTTAAGCATCGCCTTTCCAGTGTCCCGGGAGTTTAAGCTCAACTGGAATTTGGGTCCATATGGAGAAGACTACTGAATATTGTCTTTTTCAAGATTGTTTTGCATTGTTCCAATACAGTTTTCTGATGACCTGGCGCACTAACATTGGGGGCAGCTCATTATTTCTGAGGAAAGTCAGTCCTCGAAAGGTGGGCGCTGTTTTACGGTATACTGCTTAACGAATAAGGAGCTGAATTCATTTATCACGAAAAAGCATATTCTATCGTCCCAACTACTACTGTATTCTGGGAATTCAGAGGAAAACAGGGTGGTCACACGCGTTTCGCCAACTATTTGCCTTTGGAAACATACTGACTGGCGGTCTTTTTTTAACATGCATACACATTTTTTCTGGGTAGATACAGTACCTGCATTTCAGACTGTCAGTGTCCTCATCAACGTATTTGGCATGATTTAATCCAACTCGACGTCTCTTTGTAGCCGCACCACAACGGATCGATACAACTTTCTTTGACCGTTTCTCTCTCCACTCACATGCACACACCACTCAGCCTTCCAACTTCAGCACACTGATCAATTCATTTTGTGGGCCTAATTAGGTTCTTGGTATGCTGCAACGCAACCTCAGCTCATTGTCCATCACGTGGTTTCATGGCATACTTAAACCAATTTTCGCCCCAGTTGTATGGGCATCACGTCTTCACCAGAAATAAAACCATATCAGTTAGAGCTATGAGGTGTAAACTGTGTTCTGATTCCTATTATCTTTAACAACGGATAATATGCCGCGTAAAAGTTAGTTCACCGTTCACCTGATTGTTTGTGTTTACTCCCAATCTCTAGTGTACTGAGTTGTCGCACTCATATACTGCTCACTTTTCATCAAGATGATCTTGTGGGAATATTAGGAATTCCAATGATTGGTTCAAGCAGTTTCAACAGTTGAGACCTTAGCGAAACAGACTCACTTGCATATCAGTTTGTTTTCTTTTTCGACCCACCTGGAACACAGCTGAATATCTCGATTATGATGTCTTTATGAGTAGTGCATCACGTTTATACAATGTATCGCAACAAGTGAAGCATCAGGGGGCCTAGTGCAGCACATTCCATTGCTTAAGGATATCTTAAATGAGATAATCAGCGGGGTTCCAGTAGAATCGCCCGTCAAAACGAAATTGGCATGCAAGTGGTTGCATTTCGCTAATTTCGTGCAATTTGGGTTCAAGTAGAACGTAGGACTCGGGGACTGCGCCTACATGATGATCCCCATGGAGGGCGAAACCGGTCGTAGGCTGTTGAAGAGTTTTCAGTAACCTTGTGAGTAGTGCATTAAGTTAAGGTCTTAATTTATGGTGGCTTTTCGCGAATTCGGAATGAAACAACTCTGCTGTTATGTTCGCTGCCGGTAATTCGAAGCAAACTCGATGCCCCTATCTTGATTCGTCGCTGTGCTCCGTGGATGGAAAACTAGCTGATTGATAGTTGTGAATTCGATACTTTTCATGGATTTTTGTGGAGATGATCTTCCCATAACCATCATTTTTTTCGGTACCAGAGAGATATTTGAACTACGAAGAACGAGCTGATCTCCAGCTACGGATTTTCGAGCACGTAGTTCATCGCCACACTCGGTCCTCACCATCTGTGGGCTACCCTGACCCAGAGACCCCCATTAAGCCTTGTTGAGAAGTATCAGCATGACTTTCAGGCTGTTTATGGGATACAAATAAGGCGACCTTACTGCATATCAGGGGTTTATTCGTTAGGGGACTCAAGCTAAGTGGATTTGTATCCACTGAGTTTGGTAGTTGGAATGCCAGACTGTGACTGAGCGCCTGACGGAAGACATGTGTTGCCATAAGCACACCTCGCCTCGATGAATTTACCCACATTGGTTTTTTAAGGCCCACCTGCCCGACCTTGTTTGTTGAAGTCCCTACTTTTCTATGTGAAATACCAAATCAGCGATACGGCGGCTCGTCTCGAGGCAGTAATCAAATCAGCAACAACCACTGCTATGTACTCTATACATAGTGAGCTATCAATTCTACTCGACGCATTTTAATCGCTACTAACGGAACTACGAGAGACTACTTGTGATGAATAGAAAAGGTATCCTGGAAGATCTTAACATTAGCTCATTGAATGGCAGACTGTGAGCTACCGAACGATAAATAAGTGACTACGGACAGGTAACTCAGCCAATGATGGTCAGCTGACACTCAGTTGATCCTCTGTTTTCTCTGCTCGATGTCCAATTTGATAAAGTTGATAACAATTACAACCCCTTTCATTGCTTGACGAACCACTACTGATCACATGATTTGTCTTGTATAGCAATCCTGGAATTTGCTCTGCATCTGTTTACGTGTGACATTAATAATACAGTAATGCCTTCAGAGAGAAACAATATTTCAGGGGCAAACTCATCGAACACTGCACGGTTCTGAACTCCTATGATCGGACTCAGTGGTCCGTACACCGTGCATTGATCCACTGACGCGTAACGACCCGACCCTAGACAGCCTTTCAAACAGCCTAAATAACTCAACACAATTTGACCACATACCACTGTGATGTATGGAACTCCGAAAGGAAAACGTTTGTCCGTCGTGGGATGTTCTTCACTTTACAGACATACTTCTGATTAGGTGTTTGGCGTGGTTTTTTACCTTGTCCAAAACAGGAACGATTTGCTAGTGATTATTATTACTATTATTATGGTCCAACACGAGATGCCTGTGGACACTTTACCCGTAACGTTCCCACGGTTGGTCGTACCACGGTTCAGCTTGAGGTAAGCTGGACTTGAGCTTCTTCGTTTCCGGGCCATTTTCCAGTCGACATGGTCAGACATGGCCCAGTCGCGCCCTCAATGGCGCTCGTGCATCAAAGCTATTACCTTCAATACACCCCCCCCCACTTGACAGCCCACTGACAGTGCTGGACTTATGCACCAATTTATCAGCTCCGCTCCCAATGCGCAGCTACCTACCCCCCTCCCCCCAAATCCTCAGTGATGATGATGATACTACATCACACGATTTTAGGCCAAAGGCCTATCACTGCTGCACTGTTATGTAAAACACATGAATTTTCCGTCGTTACGATCATCAATTTCAGTGTGTACCACGTAGTGTGGACTCTTGAATCAACCGCTTCAATTTGATACAGGTCGAAAAAATGTTGAATGACATTTCCGGACAATTCATCGAGCCAAGTGTCTCTTCGTTTCATTGTCGTTGATTGCGATTATCCGAAACAAGTAAAATTCCGGTGTTTAGAAAAGTGTGAACTGTCATCGTCAATACGGCGGGAAGGCAAATCACAGGATATCATAACTGGACGTGACTTCACAGCTTGAGCAAGACAGTGTCGTTCTTTTTTACATTTATTTTTATACGTTTTGGCCGTAAATGCATGGATGAAAGGAAAGTAGATGTTAGTTTTTGATTGCTTGGTTCATTAGTGAGCGCCAACATATGAAACACATGTTCGATGACGCGGGGGTTTTCGCGTGGTACATTGTGGTATAAATGCATCATCGTTACGTTTCTCCCTACTTCGTTGGGAGACAATGACATCTGTTGTCCACCAAATCAACATACACCACGGTGTATTCCGATTTGATCGATTTTCTAACAAGGTTGCACCTTGAATTGAAAATCTTCTCTGTCCTACGACACTTATACATGGAGTGACAAGTAAACGCTGCCTAATCAAATGATATCCCCGTTATCGCATCCACACAGCCGTACATGAAGGATTTGATCCTGTCATTGCACTTTACGTTTAACATGCCTTGTGTGCCATAGTGACTATGAACGACAAAGCCATCCACACGGACCATGAGGTTGGAAGATACTACCTGTGTCATGCTGGTGTGAATAAGCCACAAAGGCTTGAATTAGAACGTGTAATTCTTGACTCCATCACCTGTAGACCACGATACTTACGGCTTACAACCTTTATCTCACTTCACTCCTTTGATGCGTCATGTATCTCGGTCGGATGTATACAGGGCTATTGACAATCTGAAGCGTTCCGTTGGCAGAAGTTAAATACCCTATGGAATACCTGCGGCCAGCTGAGCTTCTATTTTCCAATTAATTTAGGTACACTTTTTGTCAGTTCCTTCTCAGGAGAAACTACCCCACCGACAATACTCTTACTGCTGTATGTTGCACGGCCTAGGCTGTTTTCACGTGGTGTCTTCTCAATTGCGCTATTTACTCTGCTGCCTAGATTTGACATGAATTATGCGGACAGCCGTTGCATACGAATCCACAACGTTCTTTCAGCTATCAGGTAGCTTTATTTTCACCTTCATTGAACTATATTCTAAGCAGTTCGGTCATCGTGCAGCGTAAACGGGCTACTTTCTTTTCCTTTAGGTTTGAAGTAATTCTCAGCCAGGATGATTTCACCCCCATAAAAATAGCGAACTCTGATGAAATGAACAAACTGGTGAATCTTTATCCACCTGGACTCACCGCGGAGCTTGACGCCTTACCGTACCCCCGCCAGCTGTGCTACTCTTGGATGGTCCCACGCATTTACAAAACAGTGCGGGATTATATCGACTTGTGTGGTCGATTTTGTGCTCATGTCGATCTCTCTTGTAGTGAGCTGGAGGATACAGTGAATCGAGTGACTAACTCGTTGTTCATCGACTGCTTGAACGTGGTCCTGGTCAGTAGCATTCGACAGTCCGAGCGTATGCTTCCTCGGCTTATACAGTTTTGTACAAATTTGGAGGAGCTTGAAACTGTATGTGGTCATTTGGATGCTCATCTACAGACGTTGATCCCCACAGCGGCTGTGAACGAAGTTGTGGACTCAAGTTCTCGAAATCTGATCCCCAGTAGAGTAAGTTGTGTGATGGGAGCTTGGATTACACGTTGGTTCTTACACGTTCGGCCAGCGGATGACCACCCGACTGATGGTGTTCTATTAATGTTTGAAATCGAACCTGGTAGTTAGCGAAATACACTCATTTGCATACCAATGTGGTCTTGATAGTTGACTCACCTGGAACCGAGCTGAATCTCTCGTTTATGATGTTTTTGAGCAACTGAATGTGCTGCACCAGGCCGGCTCATGTTTCAGTTGGCACGGTATAGACGTAGTATCTTACTCATAAGGTTGCTGAAAACTCTTCGACAGCCCACGACCGGTTTCGCCTTTCTTGGGGTCACCATGAAGGCTCAGTGCCTGAGTTTCCATCAACCTTATGTTCTACTTGAATCCTCATTGCGCGAAATTAGCAAAATGCACTCATTTGTATACCAATTTGGTTTTGACGAGAGACTCAACTGGAACCCAGCAGCACATTCAGTTGCCTGAAACCATCATAAGCGAGAAGTTTAGCTGAGTAGTGTATTACGTCTGAATCCTACGGTCTTTAGTTAACACTCGAGGTGACACCGTTCCGCTAGCCGGGGTTTATCTTCCGTTATAACTGGTTGTTTCAAGAGTTAGTCCTCTTGTCGACCGCTGGGCTCGTATCCTAATGTGTCGATGTCCTAATATTCCTTGAGTTTGACCCACCTGACTTCCACTCGCTGACCTCTGTCGATTTTGTTGTTCGTCTGGTGCTCGGTTCCGTGTGAGTTGTTCGACTGAGTTGAAGCCCATGGGTGAATTCCCTGACATGTCCTGCCATTTCAAGCTAAGTGAAGTCGGTGCAAGCTTCATGCTCGAAATTTCAGCTGCATCTTGTGAAGCTGGATAGAAATGCTTATCACGAGAGCACTTCTTTTTCACATACTGTTTTTGGACCAATTCACGAGCACATTTTCCTGTTATCCTTTGTGATATCTATTCAAAACGCTTTATAAACCACGAGTATGACACATCATTTCGCTTCGATAAGCGTGCCACAGGATCAGCAGCTTTACTAACGTGACGTTCCTACATTAAGTGTGTATTTAAAGATAAGCACCTACTTCATGTAAGGACGTCCCAACAATTTCTAAAAAAAACAGCTTAACAAAAAATGTCTTTGATTTGGCAGGAATATTAAAGTATCTAGGTAGGTATCTAACGGTAAATAAATGCAGAGGAAGATGTCTTCAAACTATTGGGGCTTCGTTCCAGAAGCCGAACTTTGCGATACCTCAGCTTGCCATCTCATCATCGCTGGATTCCTATTGAGATACTTTAGGGCCATCATCGACAATCCTTAGAGTTTTGCTCAGTATATCTCATAGAAAATATTGGGGCATTTTAAAATGTACCTCAGAATTTCGATGATAGTTCAAGGTACATGAGTTGGAAGGTATGGCGAGATCTTATCTCAGTGATCACGCTGTTTATTTGCCTTGAGACTGAAATTTTTTATTCGAACTCATTGGGTAATTGATCTGTAGGATTGTTTTCGCTGTGAAAATGATTTCGACCGGGAAAAATGGGCGACTCTTGGGTTGAGAAGCACTGTGTCACAACCACCTCGATTGTAGTAAACTGTTTTGTGTGGATGAACCACAACCGCAACCGACTGCATATAGCTTTAACAGAGCGACTGAGAGTAAGTGAACCAATGATCAATGCATTCAAGTCTTCTAATTTGTTTGCTTTAGTCTACAAGCACGTTTGTGTTGTAGCGGAGCCAAGCTAGTTAGGTTTTTGGTCATTTTGGTGGAGAGTGTGTACATGATGTTCCGCCGTTAGAAACGTTATATTGTAGAGCTGCTCGCATGTTTAACCATCCTAGTTAGACAACATGCGTAGCCTAAGCAACGGACTTATCATTACTATGGTTAAGATGACAACAATAGGCCATGCCATACGTCCTCAGGCTCCCGCCAGTCTGTTTCACTGGATAGAACTATGGTTGTTCGCTGTGTGATGAGCATACAGAGAATCCGCAGGGTTCAGTGGTTTATAAAGCAACACATTGAGTGACCTCCGTTTTTAGTTAGATGACATTCAATCCAGTTAGCAGTCAGTGCGCAAATGGTGCTTGATCCTCAGTCGCAAACTGTCTTCATGTGCGACTGGTGCCGTTTCTTCAAAAGCTTAGTGAAACCTTCGGTTCAGTGCATTTTTCAAGTTGTCCATCAAATTAAGAACGAAAATACTATCTATCGGTCTAGCTATCCGCTGCACTACTTCCCCTCCACATGATACTGTGAGACCCAGTCAGTTGATTAATTGTTTTTCAATCGAAAGCTCGCATTAGAATTGGATGATCCACTTTTTACTCGAATGTAACACTCGTTTCTTCAAACTTTTCCCCTTATTGTTTGGTTACTTTCACTGCATACTCACCTAGCTCGCTTGTTTCTAACTCTCCAACCGCCAAACGGTTTGGTTTGTATCTCAGGTGCCTCCTGAACAAGAGTTGCTGCCACGTTGGCTGCCCACAAGCCGACGTCTTTCTCGGAGGAATTGCCCATGTTCGATTTCAAAGCCTATTGACCGATTCCACTATATTTTATTTCATATGATAAGCCTCAGCTCGAAAGATTCTAGGCTTATTTATTGGTGTATGTAGACATGCTGTAATAAGTTTTGTGTTTACGGAACTTTAGCAGCTACCTAAGTGCAATCGAGGTTTCTGGCAAGCTTGGATGAATTGATTTTCCGAGGACTTTTTGCCCCGCAACATACAGCAAGCGACACTGATGTTCACTGTGGTACCCATTTTTAGCGGCGTATGTATCGTCCTGGAACGTTCATTTCTTCCTGTGTCTTAGTGGAATTTGGCACAGCTCACACTGTTTGTGCAACATTTCATTTGCCATAGGGGGTTGTCTCCCATTCTCTTTCTTGGTACCACCGTGTGCTAGCCTGCTCACCCGTTCAGTCAGAACAGCAATCTAATCTGTGGGAGACTATCCAAGAACCAATCAAACGAAAGCACTGCGCACGACAACGTATGACGAACTGCAAACGGACCGATTGATTTACAAGAAATCCATCCCTAGATTTGCTACTCACATCAAGAGCTGTCAGTTACTCTTCAAGTACTGTGTACACATTTGCACTTAATGATTGATTACCGACCCAACCGTGCACTAACTAACTAACTAATAACTAATAACGTCCCCTCAACTAGTACCGAAACCCTTGCAAGCTAATTGCCAAGCTCGACAGACAGATCAACAACATGCAGATAGTCGCATGCCAGCCTGCTAACAATTTTAGGACGAATGAGAGAGTACGCATATGCTTAACGATTTTCGATAGCCATGTTCACAATTCGTTATGCGAACCCTTGTGAAATTATTATCCCCCCTCCGTGTCTCCCCTCTCAGCACACCAATCAGGAAACAGATCTGGCTCCAAACTTGATTACCGGCGCCAATCCTCCAAGAAGTCGGTTGCATGGTGCCTCACTCCTCAAAGACATCCGCTCCCTAGTCGAAAGTCTCATTTATGATCACCTAAACAACTGTGTGGAGGAATTCATCGGCATGGTCAGTTACAACCAGGCGAGCACCGGTGAATTAAATGGCAGTTCATACCCGGTGGCTTTGAATGGAGCTGTCAGTGAGACGTCTCTCAAACCAAATGAGCACATTGTGGACATGACAACATGGCTGTCGACCACATTTCAGGCTTTCGCAAACATTCCTCCAAAAGTTGCGCAAACCGCTTGCATTTCTGTGTGCAAGTGCATTGCCGCTGCGCTGTACAGATTGCTGTTAAACCCACAGGTGAGTGTGTGTGCTTGTAGAAACCTTAAATGGGTTGTTACTCAAAGTCCTTGTTCAGGATAACATGTTCCAACTAGCTGTCAGACAACCATGAACTGCACATACACTCTGGAGCGTTTATGATGTAGAACACAGTGATATGTCGGCGGATAAAGTAAGCTTAGCAGACCTAACTTTGGCCTTCGGGCTAACTGCAATGTTCCTCAATGTAACTTTCGGTGACCGTCATCGTGTACAGTAAAACCAAACCATGGCTAGCATAGTGCATCAAACCGGTGTGATTTAAGCATTTTAGATAATCGGTCTACTCGAACTGGATACACCAGGTTCCGACTTCTTTGCTTCTGAACCATGTGCTCTGAAAGATTGAGTACTTGGGTGTGTTAGCCTAGCGATGATGCTAGAGGTGACTTTCCATAACCATCATCATGTACACCAAGGTAAATTAAGCCATGACTAACGGCGAGTCATCATGCGGGTACGATCTGGTTTCGGGTTTGGCAACTTTCGGCAAGCTGAGCCTCACAATGCTTGCGTGGTAGCGTTTCGGGTATCATGGTTGAACGGCGACTGTGACGCCAGTTTATTATATGCTTCTTACAACCGTTTCCGGATGGGTCCTGTGTTGCAAACACGAAAACCACTGAAGGTTTCCATTTAGACTGGGTATCGTCCACCCAGTTTTGTTCTCAATATTCTTTGGAAGATGTTGAATATTTTTCTCTATCCCGAAACCTGTCCAGTTTTCGCAGAATCGCGTTCACTAATCTGTATATTACCCCCTCCACCTCCGGAGTTTCATCAGGCGCGCTGAATACAGTCCCGGACGAATTTGCATCCACTATTATTGATAATCATTTTATCATTAAGGTTGACTTCATATTGTTAATCTCAAGCCTTTTCTTCCATAGTGCCTCCTCCATCTGGCTCAATAGGCGACTAGGAATGGGATCTAACTTGATCACGTATCGCTATACGTTGTGTTCAACTCACCGAACCTCTGACCAGCTTGTTTGCAATCTGCCGGTCGTGTATTCCCCTTTGTGTTATCGTTCCTTCACACCGCATCACCTTAGACGAGATTGCGCTGTTGGAAGCCTCCAAAGTAAACTCCCAATCTGTATAGCCAACTTTCTCCTTCACAACGAACCCTCTGCTCTCAGTTGAGACCATATTCTCCCTTTATGGTACTTTCTCATTCAGTTTCAGTTATATAACCCTCAATCTGTATAGCCAATTTTCTTCACAATGGATCAGTGTTCATTAGGATGATCACTTGACTGATACTGGGGTACTTCAGAATTATCGTTGCCTCGTCACTAGCACCTTTTTCTAGTCCTTAGGTGACTGGAACGAGAGGCGAACCTTCCACTATGAAATACAAGAGTGAATAGCTGCTTGAACGCTTGCCCGAGGCGGAACCTTGAGCTAGTTTGCCGACCCTAATACTCGACTACATCTAACCTCTGCCTAGCCTTTTATTTCGTTGTTCCAAGGCTGTTCTACAGTCTATAATAAATACACTATTTACTTGGGAGAGGTTCTTTGAAGAAGTTGAACTGTTGCAGTTATACTGGTTTGTTCGACTCATCTTAATTTCATTAAGTAATTTATCCCAACTTGTGAGCTTTCTATAGCTTGCCAGTGCCAATCTGAAAAAGATGGATATGTTTCTGATCAGTTTCGAAGACGGAGCAAGCTCACTTATAAAGAATGTTGACGGGATTTATGATCTCTGAATTCCCACAATCATAGCTTCCAAAAGTGTTTACCCGAAGTGACCGTTGAATTATTAAACTGTCGTCCTCTATGGAATTCACCGATGCAGTCTGCGCGTGTCATTGTACATCCTTGACAACAGGAATGTCGAGTTCCTCTGTCCTCTCACTTTACCCAGCCTGTTTGGCAAGGAGGAAAGTGCCCTTATATATTGTCGAATTGTTCACGAGCATTCAACAAGTTTTCGAGATCCATAAAACCCCTTTGCGCTACAGGGTGCTTTTGGGTGTGTAAGGATGTGTGTATGAAGAATCTTCAAGTACCGTTCGGGGAGCTGACTTTATCAAATCCAGCAAAATTCAGGCCTCTAGATAATTTCTTTGCTTCTTAAGACATTAAGGAGTGTGTACGCACTATGTCGATGAGCTTAAGATTAATGGCCGTCGTGTGTGGTACAACATGCACCCTGCGGATGTCTCCCTTGATGAATTTTGAGATTTTATTTCAAACGCTATTCCCATTGCTGATTTCAGTTTTGTGAATTATCAGAACTGTCCATAATGCAAATGAGTGCGGACTTGAGTCAGTGCGAAAACTTCGTTCGGACACAACCGGTACCCGGTGTAGACCGCCAAATGCTATGGCTCATATTTGCCGATCTCCGTCAACTACTGGACCTGTTTCGACGGGAGGACTGGGCGGTATTCATCTCTTCCTACGGAAAACCAGGTGTGTCACTGTCTTGAACTGCTGGTCCTAGCGTTATGGAGGTTTCTTCCCTTTAACAGATTCTAAATGGATTAGTGGTTGGTGCAGCTGATTTCCAGCTATTGATGTGGGAACCTTGCGTCTCAGCATCCGTCCCATTGATCCAAATTTTTTTCTGCCAGTTCATTCCTTCAAGAAGTTATTACCTGTATCTCAATAGATCTAAGAATAATTCCAACCACTAGGTCTTTTTATGGCATAACTACGTGTCCAACCATGCGATCTATCGAGCAAATGCACTGACTCAAGTTGAGTTTATGGTGCTCAATGTTTTCCTAAATTAAAGACGAGAGGCGGACTGCGTAGTATAGAGAAAGAAGGATTTCGTTCATTCATGTCGGGTATTGAGCGTCATATGTTCAATGGAAAACATTTTTACAGCTTGAGTGACGGGACGTATCAAAAGTTTTCCAACCTCACACCTCTAGCACACCCGCTTATCTCTGACACTCAGCAGAACTTCGAGTGTTTCGTCCAAGATGCTGTTTTACTCGTTCTATGAACCCAACAGTCGTTCAGTGGTTGAGGTGCCAACTTGTTGACCGGAAGGTCCGTGGTTCTAACCCAACCTCAGCATCTCCACTGCTCCTATCTAGGCTTGGACAATCTGGCAATGTCTCATTCCTCCTCCCTTCTTCAAGTGGCATGTCATTAGGGCACCGAAAGTGCATTACGGCTGAATGAATGATATCTATTGCTGATCTGTTGAAGTGCTACATCATGAGCGCAATATCAGTACTTCTTAACTTAAGGTGGATGTACCGCATGTGGTCGGATCACGCGGTGACTGGACCTTATTTTTCAGCGATGGCGACAGTGGCACGATGATACTTTACTTGGTCGACTGCCAAAAACTTTTTCCATGTTGCTTGTAAGGCCTAACTGTTTCGGTTTCAGTCACCTGCAGCTGCTAGGAAATTCGGATGTAATTTAGGGTGGTTACTAATGCCGAACGATGCAGCTGCACCAGTCGGAACCAAACCACACTACATGAAAGAAAGTGTGGCCGGATGTGCTTGAGGAAACGTTTAGAGCTGAATCAACCAAGATAGCTCAAAATGCAGCATTTTCCCACCTTTTGCTACGGTCAGAAGACAACAAATAAGTCATTTTACTGTTCTAAATTACAATAGTTCTGCAACCCGAAGTTGAGCTCCTGCAAATCGTCATTACCTCTAGTACGATTGAATTTATTTTTATATTTGCAAGGTTTCGTAAGGCAGAGTGATGCACTCCATTACTGAGGTACGGTACTTCTTTGGTTTGCCTTTACCTGTCTGCGCCCTGGGCTGCACTGTAAACGTTGGTTGGCGGTTACTGCTCAGACGGTCCACAGAGAGTCGGTCGCACGTCAAATTAGAGGTGGTGTCGATGAAAAAAATTCCGGAACAGGCACATCAGCTGTATCGAAGACAGTACCATACTGTTAGTAGGAAGCAGTAGGTCGGTGCTGTTTATTCGAAAGACCGAAAAAACATGCTTTTGTCCCGAAAAGGTATGATTATTTGTTGATACTCTGTCTCTATGGGGTTTCGAGACAATGCTCTGGTTGGATCCGATACCTGTATTTTTCTTGTGTGCACCTTTTTTGCAGACAACCCGTACGATCGTGTTTCGTCAACTGTAGCAATCAGGCTTCTAGAGCGCGCCAGAGAAACCGAGAAGAAGCGTGGCGGAATTTTAGGCGGATTGTTCAAGGGAGATCGTGATCGTCGAAGAAAAGTCGATGATGTCCTCCGTCAACTACGTGACATTAAAATTCATCCTCGCCAATGAATCTCCAGAAGCTTTCCAACTTACGAAACCCCCAGTGCAAACGGACTCTTAGTCGTGCGATCTCCAGCTTTCCAGTCGGATATTGTCTTTCTTCGGCCAGTCATATCGCATTGGATTATCACTTGTTGATGCACTGATCTTCGAAGTTGCTTTAAAAGACACGTGGATAGTTCCGAGCAGTTGCATTATTTTCAAGTGTTGTTTATCGTTTTGTACTTAATGACTTCTTCAAATGCCGTTTGTTAAGATTCATTACTCGCTACAAAAGTTCACTGAACTCCGGAATCATTTCTGCCGTCTCTACGGGGTTGTAACCCAGTGTTGTGCACAAGAAGTAGGCTGCATACTTCCACAGGGATTTTAAAGTATACCTGGTCGTTTACTGAGTTTACCGCTACGCGGAAACCAGGTGCAGCCTTTTCGCTTGTCGCAACCTGCTTTCAAACTAAGGGGAATGGAGCGTGGCCACCATGTTATTTAGTCGATTACTTAGGTCAGGTTATCGTGCGGTGTAACGTAGTGCTGCCAAAAATTCTCCCTCTAGTGAAATGTCATCACTATTATCGACAGCATGACATCAGTCATACTGTCGTAGAAAGATACTTGACAGTTCCGGTAGAGAACGAAGTTTCAATATCAGTGGCGTTCTTGGCGTCAATTCCTCTTCAGATTGTCTAGCTGAGCACTTGGAGGAGTAGGCACTTTAGAATGCTTGTGATAGGCCAGCACCAGGCCATCTCTCTCACTCACTCTTTTCTCTTTCCACTCTAAGATTAGACTAGATAAACTCTGGTTGCACGACAGTAAAGCATCAGTGTCAACACTGAGGTTGGTCTATGGTGGTGGATTAGTTTAAATGTTCATCTTATTCCATTTAGCACGACCAGTGAATAGGTGCAAAGATCCTCAGTGGTATGCGCATTGGAAAGACAATGCCAATGAAGACTCTGTTTCCTCACACGGAGGCGAGATGGCTCAGTGGTTAGAGAGCGGATTTTCTTACCGGAAAGTCCGTGGTTCGAACCCAACCTCTGCCTCTCAACTTTCCATATCTAAGCTTGGGCAACCTAACAGTATCCCATCCCTCATGCTTCCTTCTGGTGCCACAGCAGTTAAGGACTGAAATGGTGCTACAGCCGAACAATTTATTTTGTTTGTATTTTCAGAAGCCCCCCCCCACCAAACAGCTCTCATTCCTTTCAGACCTACGTAGAACTTAAGATTGGTGGAGAAGTGCGCGTCGCCAACAAACAGCTACATCAGAAACTGTGCCCAAACGTGAGTCACCGATAAGAACAGGATACTGTACCGAAACTCAGCTGAGGAACTGTGTTAGGATTTTGCTAGCGGAAAGTCGTTTCGCTCCACGGAGTGACAAGTTTTATAACCTGGTCACCGTCTGATCACTGTGTTTATCCAACACAGCTTGGAGATTGTATACCTAAATAATAATGTGCTGAATTAGGTATGTTATTCTAGTGAAACGCAAAAGGGTCACCTAGTGATGCCAGTGGTGGATTAGGTAATTGTGTGCGTGGTAATACCACCATGCTTAAACTGACTAGTGGATTTAGCAAATTTCTCTGAGTTTACCTGCCAGTTTTATTCCCTTGGATCTCCATCGTCTTTCTAGGCCCACACAGTGGCACTTGAGGCCCTTCAAATTTCAACTCCTCAATCGGGTCATGTTTTAAAAACTCCAGTATCACCTGGCTTCAGTCTATATACTATTCCCAGGAAACTGCACAGAATGATCCGACGTCTCAGTCTGTACACTCCAGTTGCTGTAAATTCTTTCGTTGAAAAGCCATATTTTCGGATTTACCCGTCAATTTGGAACAAAAATGGGCAAGACACTGTATTTTGCAGCCAGTCACAGTTCTTAGTACAGTTTATTTACAATTTATTGAGTTTTGTGACAATCAGTAATCGAACTGTTTGGTCGAACGATACACACACAGCTAAACCAAGTTTGTCTGGACACCAATCAAGACTGTTCACCGGCTGACTGGATAATGTAACGTTCTGAAGCTGCGACAGCTTACCAATCACACCCTGAGCAACCTCGATATCACCTTGACCTTCAGGACCAGATTCCCGGACCATTTTCTGTCTTTTTGCTGGGTAGTGATACTGCCATAGACAGAGATTGCCGTTTCCACCGAGAGTCATAAATACATCGCGTTGCTGTGGCAAGTGCCGTACCTGCCAAATCGTGGACCCCTGGGTTTTCTCTGTCAGTGAAGCAAATCCCTTCTTTGGGTGCTGTGTTCGCATATCCCACACGTGGATCTTGCCTTCCAGCGTAGTGGCCACTAGTTTGTTCATCTGAATGTCTTTTCGATCAAACTGCAGGGAACACACACCATTCTTTACGTTGGTTTCCCATCTGACTCTCATAGCGCGGAGATCGAATAGTTTAACATCGCCATTGTCGTAGCCGGCAGCCAGACAACGGTCCTGATTGTTGTACGCATGTCCGAATGCTACTGTCCAACAATCTCTCCTGCTGCTCGCTAACACCGAGTCTTCGGAGCCTTCTGGAGCTCCTGGTTCCATGGTAGCCACTGGGACTTTGGGTTGTCTGGGATCCCAAACTTTTACAGTACCATCACGACTCCCAGTGGCAATTTCTGGCGCGCCCTCTCCAATGCCTAAGCCACCGACGGCGTCCATTGCGTTAATGATTTCTGTATGTGCCTGTACACCATAAACAGGGACGTCCAACCTGCTCGATTGTCCGAGGTCCCATATAGCCAGACGACCATTGAACGCTCCTGTTGCAATGTGCCTTTGAGGGAGACGAGATGCTCCAAAATGGCAGCATTTGAAGGAACTTGATTTCTCTGACTACAATCAGAATATAGCGAGAGTAGATGTTAGTCGCGGTGTACACATGTATCAATCTGAAGTGTCTACAGTAAATAGCTTCAACCGCATTACCTTATTTTAAAAGGGCCCTTTACGTGTGAAGTTGCCATCTAAGCGCTGAATCTTGACCAGTAAAGTTGACGACAGTCACAATGATACTTCAGGTGACAAAATACGCATCGAATATTTCTACAGCCTATTTTGTATATCTACGAGTACTTCAGGTGCCGGTGACCGATGTTCTATATGTTCCTGGGGCGGTAATATACCATCACGGGGTTTTGAATCTGCGAACATTATTTGACTTAACTGTCAATGAGCTGTAAACATAGGACTGTCCAAGGCGAGACGGAAACGCCCATATCTGGACGCCAGTGTTCATTGTATGGGAACAAACCAACAACCCACTCAAAAGAACTCCGAAGAATTCACTGAAACTCACTTCTGTTAGGAGTTGCACATCTTTGGCCGTCACATCGTAGATTTGTATGGCACCCGTACCGCGTGGCTTTGATCCAACGACTACGAATTTCGTGCTGACTGGAACCCAAGCACAGTCAAAGAGCGTGAAGTCAAGGGACTTCTGAATATGCCCAATAATCTGTGGTTTATCCATCCGGGCTGTGCTTACAGCATGACGTCTGACTAGAGTTCTCAGACCTCAATTTTCAATTCCAAGTGAAAGCGGAATTGAAACTTGAAGGAGGGTAAAACCATGCGTGAACAAACCAGACTAAGGCCGGTTGTTACTGTGCTGAAATGGAGTAAAGGTATTCGGGAAAGTGAGACATTTTGTCAAGTATTTTATTTGCATCATCATCGACAGTATGACGTCAGTGTTTAACACCGTACAACCATGATTTACTTAGAAGCCTTACTGTGAAAAAAAGAATAAGGGTGGATGGGGAAGTGACTATGTGCTAGCCTATCACAATCCTTCTAAAGTGTCTACACCTCCAGACACTCATTCACTCACTCATCTGGATAGAAACTGACAACAGGAACGCCACTGACATCGATTGGCAGCCATATCTTGCAGTGTCTCCAACCAGGCGCAGTGGGGATCACGCGGTCCCCATCCTGGAAGGCGAGTAGCACCGACAGCACCTAAACGTTTCGTGACTTCTTTTATACCCCTCTACCAAGTGAAGGGTTGGCCACCTCCCTGCTCCTGCCACTCTGAATTGGGCACGAAAAACAGCACTTTCTTCGGCAAACGACGGTTGGGCGTGCGCAACACAGCTTCTGGTGCTGGAAGCCCCCGTTGCACAACCGAAAACTCGCTTTCCAATTGCCTGGTTATGGATTCGCCAGCCCACACGAGATAACGGATGTCGAATAGAAGACATCTCAGTTCCGCTGCTCGAATAGGCCAAGTCTCACGTTTATGCAACAAAACAGCCCATACACGCCCCTTCAGATTCAGGGATACACCACTTTGACCTTGGGTGTCCCAAATTAGCAAACACGCCACGAGCCTTGGAGATGGAGTGACCTTGGTCAGTTCAACCAGAAACATCTGCCCCTTCTCTTCGAAGACTAGAAGGGGATCGAGAAGGCTTTCGTCAGCGGCCATTTGAACACCTTTCGGCGTTTGTTTCATTATTCCATCCGAAGGAGTGGAGAGAGTGGGTTTCCCTGAAGAACTCCGCTTTGTGTACGGAAGCGTTTGGAGAACTCGCTGTATACTCTCACACGTCCGGAAGTCTGAGAACACAAAAAGCCTATTGTGTTCACAAGCTTCCCGGGCATTCCTTGGTGGAAAATCCCGCTTACTGCTACTGAGTCAGTGTTTCACGTCAAAACGCAAGTGACGCCAACAGTATCATTATGATCGGCGTCAAGCCTATACTCCTGCGGTTACCACACTAGCTACTATCCCCGCTTTTCTAATGGATACCATCACTGACTCTGTCCAGTTGTCTAGGACAGTCCTATTCTCCCAAATGCACGCAAACAGATCAGAAAAGCTCTGACTGAGTACTTCACCCCCATCTTTGGACAATGTGGGTGGGAGGTCATCCAGACCACGAGCTCAGCTGCTTGGGAGAACATATGCAGCCATAAATCTCCAAGGCCTTCGGGAGTTCCATGTTCTACGTCAGCTGTAAGCCCCAGATGAGTGGCAGCTGCTGGCCACGGTAATTGTCGTTCGAAGTATTCGGCCCACCGGTCGATACGTTCTTTATTCAAGATGGGCAATTCGTTCTGATCCTTGGTAATTTCGCTCACGGGTGGTTTTCGGTCATCAGTCGCACGAACTAAGTGAAATAATCTCCGTACATCCCCCGCTTTATGGGTCAAATCCATTTCTTTAGCTTTCACAGTCCATCAGAATTCATGATCGGTACGCACGCTCACTTTCACTTGACATCTGATGATTCGTCGGGTCAAATTATGTTCGGAGCCGGCCTCTCTACCTATTTATTCAGATCTCCAGCAACCACAACGATATCTGAGGTCTTACTTGGGTGTCCCAAATTAGCAAACACGCCACGAGCCTTGGAGATGGAGTGACCTTGGTCAGTTCAACCAGAAACATCTGCCCCTTCTCTTCGAAGACTAGAAGGGGATCGAGAAGGCTTTCGTCAGCGGCCATTTGAACACCTTTCGGCGTTTGTTTCATTATTCCATCCGAAGGAGTGGAGAGAGTGGGTTTCCCTGAAGAACTCCGCTTTGTGTACGGAAGCGTTTGGAGAACTCGCTGTATACTCTCACACGTCCGGAAGTCTGAGAACACAAAAAGCCTATTGTGTTCACAAGCTTCCCGGGCATTCCTTGGTGGAAAATCCCGCTTACTGCTACTGAGTCAGTGTTTCACGTCAAAACGCAAGTGACGCCAACAGTATCATTATGATCGGCGTCAAGCCTATACTCCTGCGGTTACCACACTAGCTACTATCCCCGCTTTTCTAATGGATACCATCACTGACTCTGTCCAGTTGTCTAGGACAGTCCTATTCTCCCAAATGCACGCAAACAGATCAGAAAAGCTCTGACTGAGTACTTCACCCCCATCTTTGGACAATGTGGGTGGGAGGTCATCCAGACCACGAGCTCAGCTGCTTGGGAGAACATATGCAGCCATAAATCTCCAAGGCCTTCGGGAGTTCCATGTTCTACGTCAGCTGTAAGCCCCAGATGAGTGGCAGCTGCTGGCCACGGTAATTGTCGTTCGAAGTATTCGGCCCACCGGTCGATACGTTCTTTATTCAAGATGGGCAATTCGTTCTGATCCTTGGTAATTTCGCTCACGGGTGGTTTTCGGTCATCAGTCGCACGAACTAAGTGAAATAATCTCCGTACATCCCCCGCTTTATGGGTCAAATCCATTTCTTTAGCTTTCACAGTCCATCAGAATTCATGATCGGTACGCACGCTCACTTTCACTTGACATCTGATGATTCGTCGGGTCAAATTATGTTCGGAGCCGGCCTCTCTACCTATTTATTCAGATCTCCAGCAACCACAACGATATCTGAGGTCTTAACTTGCCGCAGCAGGACATCCAGGGCGTCAAAACTTGTCTTTGATGGTGTCAGAGCTATAGTCGGTTGGGGCGTAAGCAGACAACAATGAAGTTCCCGTTTGTGAGACTCCTTCACGTTGTCAGACGAAGCGCACAGAGGTGACTATTGATGAGTAACCAGTCAAACAGGATCCTTCCTCCCGGTGACATAGGACGACACTAACCTCTGCACATCCTGCCGTAGCAGCCTCTAGATCACAAGAGGTGCGCAGCCGGGGCGGTTCGTTCAACCATAGTGCTTACATTCTGAATTCTCGTTTCTGATACATAGCACACAACAACGTCAATTGAGTCCAGTGTGAGAGCAAGAGCAGCTTGTTGGCGTGCTCGCTGTAGAGTGCGGGTATTGAAATCAGCCAGATAGACTGAGCATCGAGGCTTGAATATTGATTTCAAGATGTCTGGGATGTCAGCGCCGGATGACCCGTAGTTGACGATGAACGGAGTTATCAGTCTTAGGTGTTGGGCCTACAAGGAGACGGTTATTAATGGGGTAGGGAGAGAAGGGAGAAAAACTATGTGAAAGAGAAAAAAGGGAGGCGTCAGCGGTGACCTGTTTTCGCTTACGTTCCGCTCTGCTGTATGCAGCAAGTAATGCAACCCGGCTGATAGCTCCACGCGACGGCCGATGTGACGTGACCTCATTCGTATGTGTGAAATTCACGGTTGTACGCGGACAGAGATACTTTCATGGCGCCCACACCTAGATGTACGCGGACATACTTTCATGGCGCCCACACCTAGATAGGAGGACGAATAGGGTCTTCAGCCAACGTCTCTGGCTCAAAAGCCTGACCGCCCGCAAGCAGTGTTTGGCGGGAAATGCACGTTCTTTTCAATTTATACAAAGTATGTCGCAACACATGTTCCAATCCCCAACCTTCATGGCCAGGAAACTGTGTTCATCACCTCTAGCCATCGACCAACCTTGTATAACAGTAACATTCCCCAGTAAAGCTCAATAGGTCGCAGAGGTACACAAATCGTCACGCCACCGTAAGATCTAGTCTTTTCATGACGGTCCGGATCCATCTGGATCACTGTAGGTCTTAAGAAAATAGCAAACATTCTTACGAGAAATCCTATTCACCTTAAAAAACGAGCCGACTTCAATAGGCCCGTGTAAATACTTCACGTTGCAGCCCGCATTCGCTCTCGCTATGAGTTTATGCCTCCTCCTTGAGAGGATGGTTGTTAGACTCCATGTCCACACGGTATCCCATTTGGACGCAAACGTCAAGCCTTTCATTTCCTTTTCCACAGACATTCACACAATTTCCCTATCAACCGGGGGTAAGAATATGCTTTCACCTTCCTCTTCTTTATAAGCATATTGCATCAGATGTCACTTGGAGTCTAGAATTGTCACAGGGAAATATGGTTGTCTCTGGGTTGACATTTTACGTATCCCGCATTGTTGTTGACACTTCCATATATCGCATGGGAATATCCAATGTTCCGTGTTTACAGAGGCTCATAATGAGTCGTTCTAAATGTGGTAAATGATCATCTTGCACCGGCAACTTATTCTCGGAGGCAACTTACATCTCAAGCCGGTCATTACTGATAGCGTGATCTGCGTCAAAATAGCTGATTAAGAACAAACGGAAACCCTTCGTAGTGTGTTTTGATATGTAACTGATTTAAACGTGATTTACTTATGTTAATGACTGGTTGGCAGAAAGAGCCCAGGTGATAGTATAAGGACACTACACCGAAACGCTGTAATAATACACAGGCACAGATATCCTCCACCATTCTGTGTTGTGCCCAGACAAACAAGTCGTTCCCAGTCACTATATCACATCGACATTGTTGAACTGGAATTACTTAGGGTTGTAGAACAGTGTCAGCGGTTGGTAGTTGATAAGGCGGATTGTGGAGTGGTGCATGGTGTGCATTCAGGAATTCCACAAAGCTAGAAACCCGATCCGCGCAGAAAAACGTGACACTAAACACAGAAACTGGGCTTCGAGTTAGCAACGCACCTGCCTGAGTAGAAACCAGACCTATAGTATAAACTATTTCCGAAATTATGCCGTAATGAAATTATGACGCAGCAAGTCATTAGCGACAAATATTTCAACCACATTTGGCAAAATAGCGAAAACTGAAGGTCTGTTGTTGGCTGGATTTGGACACAAAACTTGAGGGTTGAAAATCACGTGCAAGTCGATCAATCCGTCTCTTAGAGTGACTTTCATGGCGCCCACACCTAGATAGGAGGACGAATAGGGTCTTCAGCCAACGTCTCTGGCTCAAAAGCCTGACCGCATGGCAGCAGTGTTTGGCGGGAAATGCACGTTCTTTTCAATTTATACAAAGTATGTCGCAACACATGTTCCAATCCCCAACCTTCATGGCCAGGAAACTGTGTTCATCACCTCTAGCCATCGACCAACCTTGTATAACAGTAACATTCCCCAGTAAAGCTCAATAGGTCGCAGAGGTACACAAATCGTCACGCCACCGTAAGATCTAGTCTTTTCATGACGGTCCGGATCCATCTGGATCACTGTAGGTCTTAAGAAAATAGCAAACATTCTTACGAGAAATCCTATTCACCTTAAAAAACGAGCCGACTTCAATAGGCCCGTGTAAATACTTCACGTTGCAGCCCGCATTCGCTCTCGCTATGAGTTTATGCCTCCTCCTTGAGAGGATGGTTGTTAGACTCCATGTCCACACGGTATCCCATTTGGACGCAAACGTCAAGCCTTTCATTTCCTTTTCCACAGACATTCACACAATTTCCCTATCAACCGGGGGTAAGAATATGCTTTCACCTTCCTCTTCTTTATAAGCATATTGCATCAGATGTCACTTGGAGTCTAGAATTGTCACAGGGAAATATGGTTGTCTCTGGGTTGACATTTTACGTATCCCGCATTGTTGTTGACACTTCCATATATCGCATGGGAATATCCAATGTTCCGTGTTTACAGAGGCTCATAATGAGTCGTTCTAAATGTGGTAAATGATCATCTTGCACCGGCAACTTATTCTCGGAGGCAACTTACATCTCAAGCCGGTCATTACTGATAGCGTGATCTGCGTCAAAATAGCTGATTAAGAACAAACGGAAACCCTTCGTAGTGTGTTTTGATATGTAACTGATTTAAACGTGATTTACTTATGTTAATGACTGGTTGGCAGAAAGAGCCCAGGTGATAGTATAAGGACACTACACCGAAACGCTGTAATAATACACAGGCACAGATATCCTCCACCATTCTGTGTTGTGCCCAGACAAACAAGTCGTTCCCAGTCACTATATCACATCGACATTGTTGAACTGGAATTACTTAGGGTTGTAGAACAGTGTCAGCGGTTGGTAGTTGATAAGGCGGATTGTGGAGTGGTGCATGGTGTGCATTCAGGAATTCCACAAAGCTAGAAACCCGATCCGCGCAGAAAAACGTGACACTAAACACAGAAACTGGGCTTCGAGTTAGCAACGCACCTGCCTGAGTAGAAACCAGACCTATAGTATAAACTATTTCCGAAATTATGCCGTAATGAAATTATGACGCAGCAAGTCATTAGCGACAAATATTTCAACCACATTTGGCAAAATAGCGAAAACTGAAGGTCTGTTGTTGGCTGGATTTGGACACAAAACTTGAGGGTTGAAAATCACGTGCAAGTCGATCAATCCGTCTCTTAGAGTGGGGATGGGTTGGGATGGAGTTCGTCCATCCCAGGTAAGCCGCAACATCTTAGCAGTCCTAGTTTACAGAAACGGCAAACACTCCGCTACAATAGATATACGCTCAAAATGGTTCTTCCATGTGGTATAAAATAACAACGACTGATCAGAAAAACTGAAAAAGACTAGGTTAGGACAAACCCAGTAAATACACTTAACGTAAAATATATTTAGGAAAGGAATGTGTTATAGACCGTCTGAACTAGCTGGGCAAACCGCGACGGAACCCTGAAAGAGGAAATGTGATTCGAGAGGAAAATCGGCCGACAACAGGACTGCCGTGGGAAGGTGTCGAATATACGTGGCCACTTAAACGAAGAGGGCAGTTCAACTCTACTGAAGTAGACCAAGAGCAAGAGTGTCTAAGTGCCTATCCAGATGAGATAAACGGACACGCACAATTGTACCTCGAAGTGTATCACGAAGAAATAACGTTCCAACGGATATCAGAATACAGAAGAAAGGAGTGAAGAGCACGCAACAACAAAACGTTGACCTCCACGAAAACCCTAGTCGGCAGCTACAGTAGACAACAGAAACTTCGGAAGCAACAGAAGAGATGGATCGTCATCATCACAGACAGCAATACACCACTAATATACACTGGTGCTAAATTTCTAAATGAAGTCACTGACCCCATTGATAGGACGGAGGTCGCGGCATCTGAAAATATTTTGGCCAAACCAGATATGACGTAAAGCTATTCCAAAGCATTCCTGTCAGTGACGCCAGTGTCGCCTAGCATCACTTTAAACCCCGACGATGTAGCTGTATATATGACCTAAAATGGCAGAGAGTTCCAACGCAAAATGTGATGCACTCTTAGGAGTTCATATTCGCAGCCACAGAATCACGTTTCACTCGAAAATCACAAGCTTTTGACAAGTTACGTTGGTCCAGTATTCGGTAAGTATGCACCAATAGGAAAGTGACTCCCGTCTTTCGCGTTCGCTTTTGTTGGCCACTACAACGTTCATACCATTGCTGCTGTGTACTGCATGCTCATTTACCGGCTTCTGCAAATAATTTCCATTTCGACCCTGATAAGTGTCTTTTTCTTGTTATCCCGTATCCGACATCCAAATCTCCACCAGGGCTCCACACATCGTATGCGCCCGTATTTTCCTGTAGAAAATACAAGGTTACAGGATATTTACATTTTACAGAAACCACACCGTTTTCATCCATAGTGATGAGCATGTGAGAGCTCCAACGGTACGTGCGAGTGGTTGCAACTGGTACTCACCAACGGCATGCGCCTTACTTCAAGCAGTCGAAAGTGGCACATGTAACTACTTCGAACGCTGGTGCACAAGATCATCCTCGATAAAGTTCACTAAATCCGCTAAGTGGTATCCGTCTAACTAACTAACGAAACAGGGAAAGAAGCTACTGAAACCATGGTACATTTCTGCGAAGGCTAGGATATCGAAATAGTAATACCAGGTTGCTCTAGTAAGCTTATGAGGTATAAAACAATGAAGAAACAACTGAGTTCATAGACTTCAAGACTTCACCCTCCAAGAATGGATGGTGGCGTCACAAAGGGGAGAACTGTTTCTTGGATGGGAACTGTAATTTACGGGATTTTGCTCCTCACTGAGGTGCTTCACGTTTTTGCTGTGTATTATGACTACTGGCGCTAATTAACAGTAGTTAAAGTACACCATATAATACACCTGATACTGCCTGCGAACCAATAGAAATATGATCTCTGGAGTACATGAAACCGAGTGATGTGATTTGCACCTAATACACAAAAAAATATTCAAATGTAGAACCCTTTCGACCCTAACTGCCATGCCACCAGAATGAAATATGAGGGCTAGGATACTGCCAGGTTGCCCTAGCCTAGACAGGGAACCTAATATGCACCAAAAAGGAAACGACATCACGCGTGTTGCTTTTATTCTGCCGTAACCACAAACACCGTCGCGACAAGCCCACGACCGCTAGAGAAGTGGCATGAAAGCCAAAATCACCCAAGGCGCTGTTTCAGGATCTCTTTCTTGCCATGGGGCTATGCGAGCTTATTCCAACAAACTAACCTTTACGAAAAGTGGCCTTGTGACCACCATGAAGACACAACCAAACGTATCGAATGTGATTCTTGCGCAAGAACACCGTCCAACTCACAGTGATGTGAGGAACTAGTGTCAGGTCAAAGGGTTCTGGTTCATCAATCACTCTAAACAATGACGAGTTTTGTCGAAAGGGTGAAGTCGTAAGCGATTGTGATCTACTGCCAGTGCTCAATGGTCAGCTAACAATTCACATATAAATGGCCTCATTACTTACACTCCATCGCACAACCACTCGAGGAAATAATGAGAGTTCGCGGAGCTAACGTGCGCTCTGACTTGAATTTTGTGTTTACGACTAAGGGCACATGACAGAAACCGTGACCTGCTTACCCCCACTTGGTGCGCGTTGTACCTTCAAACCAAGTGTCGTTCAGATCAGAACTAGCCGATATAGCAGGTCAGATCTTGACTATTCCTCTAAAAACTTTTACATAATGAGGCTTATGAACGGCTTGCCCGTTCATCGAATGCTCGTGTCATGGCAAACTCTTCCGGTTTGTCGTTCACACGCAACCGAATTCCGACAAGCAAAGAACTGGATAGGACGAGTGGATTATGGAACAATCATCGATGCCCCCACAAAGCCCGAAACGCAGGGGTGTGCATCCTAGTTGAACAACTACCAAAAAATCCAAAAATCTCAGATAAATGTGGTAACAACTGCCTTAAATTAACATATGAAAACCTTGCGTTCACCCCCAACAACCACAGATGAATGTATATTTATTCTGTCACTACTCTACTAATTTTGGCCAATTACCATTGACTCACTTCCCAATCACGTCTATGTCTCAGGCTGCACTGTCCTATCCAAAGGCCTCCCAAAACTCTGTTTGATATCGCATTTGCCCGAGGGCAGTTCCAACTTGTATCCTGGCGAACAGATACATCCTCTGGTACTACTGAACGAAAATTTCAGATGCTTTCCGCTCTTGTCTCTAGACAAGCTATCGAGAAATTTGATACAGCCTTTCGTATAGCACACGTGATTTGGTCTGCAAAAGTGGAACTAGCGCGGCTCATTGAGGCTATGTAATATCTGATAATGAGGCTGCAGGTCCACCAAGGATTACTTTTGCTATATTTCCGGACTAATGGATATCCCCTGTTGATTATTAGTTTGAGGTCAACGTAGAGTTCCTTGACTTTCTCAGGACTTCCAGTCTCATTTATCATACGACTTTGCAAAGCGAACTGTTTGATCATGGTATGCGAGATCCCCACTAATTAAGTATGGATTCCGAATATATATGAAAGGCTTCCAGTCGGTGCCGTGTCGTAAACATCTGAGAAGGAACCTACATGTCACTAACAGGACCATATTAGCTTCCGGACTCACTGATGCGTGGAGATGAAATTCGTCCCAGTAAGATGAAGCCATACATCAAGTGGGGGAACGACCAAGAATAATGTCTAAACCTTCGAAAATCAGAAAAAACAGTCGAGCATCGTGTTGAATTAGGTTGTCATTGGAGGGAGTAACTCAGCATCCTTTGCTAACATAAACCTAGGCAGCCCAGATAGGAAATGGCAGCTGGCACCCCACTATGATCAGCTGTGTGCCGTGTCCTGCAGGATTTCCAACCCCATGCAAGCAGGACCACGTGCGTCCCAACTCACGGAGCTGCTTTTATTTTTTCCATTGTCATGTTACGGCCTCTCCTCCACGAACCTTTCACCAACAAGCATTTGAAACAGGAAACAACACTTTATCAGGTATACGGTGATCGCGGCTGACTAATACATGTCCCAACTACCTTAGCCTGGTATGTCTGATCTGCCGTTGTAGTGAATAGAATTCGTAACCAAATGCCAGCTTCATTACCGCTTCGTTACGCGCTCACCCTCGATAGGTGAACTGATCACACTGCATCGATTGCGATGGCTTGGCCACGTGCTACGTATGCCAGGCGACCGACTTCCTCGAAGGGTTTTTTCGCACAACCACGTGAAGGGTAGAAACGAGCCAGAGGCGGCCAAACAATGACTTGGCAGTGAAGTATGAAAGATATTACCAGCAAACTCAGCTGCGGTAATCATTGCTGTCTTCCTGGATGGGGACCCCGAGAAAGGCCACATCAGTGATTGGAGACATTGTTAGACATGACCCAGTCGCGCCCTCGATGGTCCTCGTACATCCAGTCTATTTCCTTTAATGCATAGCTCCCTTCCCGATCCCCCCGCTTGGCAGTCCACTGACAGTGGCATATTTACGCACCAATTTAGCAGCTCCCGCCTCTAATGCACAGCTATCTACTCCACCTCCCCAAATCATCCAACGAATCTGTTGCAGCTATAACCACAAGTATGCGGTTCTTACAGCTGACAAGGACGATGATTATGCCTTCTCCGGAGGAAAGACAGGTTGGAAAAGGTTAGCCCTAAAACCGCACATTAAGATTGCTCAAGAGTTGACGGTGGCCACAGACGCGTCACTCAATACGGTCGAAATAGGTTTCAAACCACGAAGTTTGGTGCTGCTCAGAAGGTACCCACTAGGTTGTCCACATAATTACGCCTTAATACCTGCGCCCTCGGGCAACACCAGTCCTCCGTAGCTAAGTGGGTCAGACTATTGCGTCCGCGGAATTGGCGCTTTGGCTCCTCAACGAAACCTTAAGAACAGCTGCCTTACGGTTCAGATGCTAGAAGCAGGGTCCCCGAATAAAACCCTACATGCCCTTATTACATTGTTAGCTAGGCTTTTGAGTCAGAGGCTTAAGGTGGGGTACCTTAACCTAACCCCATTATTCGGCCTGAGCAACCAGGAAGCATCATTCGTCCTTGCAGCTTTACGTTCACCGGCCCTACCCACCCGGCGGACGGTGCACTGAGGTCATCCTGTTTGACAATCCCATCATTCCGTGTGTAAACCATTGTCCAGGAGAATGAATCAAGAGAATCCCTTACCAACCTCAAGCGATCTGATCCACTTTGCAGCCTCCAGTGTCCGTAATCTCTGACAAAGTAGCCAACCGGCATCTCTTACCGAAACCTCGCTTCCCTTCTGTGTCGATGCATCTTATGTTTCCTAAACACGCATACAAGATACCACTTCAGTCGTGCACCTCAAGCCGCCTAGAACGAGATCAAATGTCCCACATTTTACTCTTCAGGCATCTGCTATCTAAGATGCGGGAGTTACACTCGGCCCAAGATCATCGCGGTGAGCTGATTATAAGGCTACTGAAAACGCACAATCAAGAACGAGTAGTTGGAGGTTGAATGGGAGCGAGTTAAAGAAGCTAGGCTCGCGGCTCTCAGAACTGTTTGTTCAAGCTGTCCGAATCGACTAAATGAAGATGAGGTATGGTCGAGATTAGCAAATCTTATTGGTGCAAGGCCATACAAGCACATGGCAAATATGGTGGCGTACAAGGATTCCTCGAATTCCGGACAATCAGAGGCTTGAAGGATGACAAAATGCTAGAGGGTACCGAAAGCCCAGGAGGTGGACAGCTTTCGCTGAAGACAACAACCGTGACCTATTTAAGTTGATTCGGTTGGCGAGCCACAATAACATGGGTGTCAGCAGAAGAATACGCGAAATAGACGGAACGGTAATGAACTAGCAAAATCATCGTCTTGAGTGATGGGTCGAAAAATTTAGCTGGCTTCCTTCAATACAACCTTTGAATGAATCCAAACAGCCTGGATTGAACATCGACAACATCCCGCCATCAGCAGCAGATGTATCATTCCTCTGACGCGATAAGGCACCAGATCCGAAACATCCAACCATTGCACCTTTCAAAGGTGGTGAAGCCCTGATAAACAGTATTATGACTTTGAAGCGGAAGATTTTAAACAAAAACAGAGTACGGGTGGAGTGGGGCACCTCAACCGTCATCTGTCTTCGATGAGTGTAAGAATGTCATGTGAAGACCGTCGTCGCACCAGACTGATAGCTGTATCAATCAACGTGCTCTCTAGGTTGATCAGGTCGATCGACTATGGGGAGTGACAGATTCGTGAGAATCAAGCTGGGTTTCGTCCAGGCCGAGGGCAAATTGACCATATCTTGACATTGAGCACGAGGTAGCACAATAGTAAAGGCACAACCTGGAAGGTCCGTCGTTCGAACCCAACCTCGGAATATCAACTGCTCCTATTAAATTGACAGCCCTCGGGCTTCCGTCGGGAGGCATGGTATAAGGCAGCAAAAGTGTTACAGTTGAACGGTCGTCATCATTATTGTTATTGCCTCGGAAGAAATCACTGAACAGCCTGAGTTCACCACGTCTAGTGATGAAGACAAGACTATCCTTTCTCGTTTGTCCTCTTTAAACTTTGCATCGGTGTGCTGTTTGAAATTCCTCTACCTGCGTCTGAAACTTCGGGAGTCGAAATGCTCCCAGGACGATATTGCTCTCCTTGGTTCGGACCCTTCAGAAATGCAAACCATTCTAAATAACCTAAATAACCCTACCGCATGGTTTGGTTTAAAAAACGTTCAGCTGTAACACCCCTTCAGTGCCTAGCTATCGTGCCACCCGAAGGAAACATCAGGGATTGGATAGTGCAAGGTTGCCCAAGCATGGGCAGAGGAAGTTGAAAGAGAGCGGTTGGGTTCCAATCAGGAACCCTTGTCAGTAAATTCACGCTCTAAACACTGAGCGTATTCGTGGGAAGGAGGCAATATTTTATGGATTCACTACAATTTCTGCACGTGACGACTTGGAACAAAAGCGATGAGCAGAAGCGCAATAGACGTAGCTTAACATAACCAATACTCCCCTAAAAATCACCAAAACAGTAGGCGCATGTAATATAGAGGCTATGGATGCACTAGGGGGCAGTGATTCTCCGAAGGCAGGTGTTCACGACAGTTTCCATGAGTGAAAAACAGATATAGAGCTCATGAGCCAAAGCCCAGTAAGCAAGGTTGTACATCTTCAATACTTACATTTAAATCAAACTGAGAGACACCGAACACTGCACACCGGAGCACAAAAAGCACCAAAACTTTCAAACACGCGCCACGTAATGCCATGGTTCCCTGGTGAAAACAGATCCGAAAAACATCAAGAAATTCGGTGGGTGGGAGTATTTGCCCGGAAGCAGATCAGCGAAACAAGCATCCGGCAATCTGTAATCCAGTGGGAAACCGAAGTCCTCTGAATTTGAGTCATAGTCGGTGCTCATTATTCGCACAATGGAATTGAACTTTCGAAAGTAATGACGTGCCCCTGATGGACTAAAGCAATCTATCAGTTGAATTTCGAGTACCAGTCCAAACTTATAAGCCGTATTTAGGCATCTTAGGGTCTGAGCGATGCTGGGAAACCATCCCACGAGACTTTACAACCGGACGCAGGTTGCTTGAGTGGATAATTAAATTTGGTGAGCTTCAAAAATGAGGGCGTAAATTAGGACGGTTTTTAATTTGAGCGCGTACACAACAAAATGCAACAGTTTTTGGAAGGAAGTTTTACTCCACTCATGAAGGTTTCGCAGCTGAGTGCATTGTGCGAGTAACGGGCACCGTCCTAGTCTTCTGCCTTTTTCAACGGATGTCTGAACCATATACGCGAGCAGGAAGCAAAAAGCCACTGCATTACTCTGGTCCGTGCAACGATACACGAGGCTTTCACCCGAGATTCTAGGACTAGTTTTGTTCTAGCCGTTCTTTGGCCTCCGGTAACCCGAAATGCTCATGCAAAATTGTATCAAAATGCATTGTGCTTAAAAGCCTGCAGACCCACACTAAAATATATCAAAATGATTTGAAATAGGACGACTGTTGGAGGAAGATCAATTCGTGCACCAAACACCTGAAATGATAGAATCTGTTGTTCAATAAATGAGCACTTGAAATTCTGCATACAATGTCCCCAACTATGTATTGGTGGGATCAACGGCGAAAAACCACTTCGTCATTCCTTGGTCAGACACGATGTAAGAAGGAATCAGGTCCTTTCGAGGACGAAAGCTTTCACCTGTCTCCAAGTGTCTTTCATAATCAACGGAACCATATTCGTAGCAGCTCGCTCGACAAGCCTGTTGGTATTCTTGCGTCCTGGGTAGGCGACTTGACGGCCGCATTAAAGAGGCGGGCCGAAGTAGGCTCCGTTGAATTTCTCAAAGCCCACGGGTGTAACAGGAAGATGGGTGGGTTAAGTCGTCTGAAGGACGATTAATAGTCTTCTTTTTCCGTCTTTGGTTGGCATCGGGCTGTCCACAAACACGAGCACGTTGTTCAATAAAGAACGGATTTGCGGGGATGAATTTGGCGACGAGGCTGCCAAGTTGTTGGTGAGGAGATGACTTCCTAATAGTCCACTGCAAAGGGTATTTCATCAGCTTTCACTATATGCAAGTGAAGCATACAAGACTCGCGAGGCAGTCAGGCCAGAAGGTACGGATAACCAAGTGCATACGTGAATAAAAACTGGCTAAACGTTAGAAGCAACCTTTGAGTTGGCCTACGACCGTTGGGACCAATTTCATTCAGGGCGTTTGTGATTTTTGGACCTTTCCCAACAAATAGTCATGCACTCTAATATGAAAAATCTCGAGGTGATGAGAATTCATCTTGTTTAAGTAAATATACTATCAAGGGAGGGATATGATGCCCTAAAGTGAAAGGGAAGGCTTGCATAGTAATTTATGGTCGATAGGCTGAACCAGACACTGTCGTTGATGGAAAAAACGAAATTTCAGCGCTGGAGAGAAGATCATGATTTTTGAGGCCTAATAGTCTTAAAACCACTTCTGGTCTATCTCGTACCAGGTGTCGAAAGTACCTCACTAGGCTAAGTAATAACGTGTATTGAAAATAAGCCAAGATGATTAGGTCGGTCATGCACCACGAGCGAGTGAGTCTAAATGAATCAGTGTGGATGAAATGGATAAATATCATCTTTTACGGCGATTTTCATGACGTTTACCACTTCAGACCATCCAGGGCGTGAACGGCTTCCGAAGAAAGGGGAGCAGTAGCAGACTCGGCTTCAGAAAACCTCCAGGAATTACAGATCCGGGTCA